AATTAAAGTTGTCCCACATTGGAAGAATACAAGGATGGTCTCCATGTGCTAGAAGTTGTCCCACATCGGAAAAGTACAAGGAGGAGATGTGTTTCAACTACTATAAAAGGAGCTCATGGGCTTGAGTTTTAATCATCCCAATTGAAATACTTTAAGCCTGATATACTAGCTTTAGTTAACTGTATTTGTGGGCTTTCTTTAATTTTCTCAGTTATTTTCTGTTTATTCCTGCGTAGAAGTAGGGGATTTTTCCCAACACAATTTTGTATATCTATCTTATATTTTTCATTTTTGCTCCAAATTTTTTTTAAATTGATTTCGTAAAAGTCTTTCATTAGCAACTTCCGCGATAATCGAATCTCGCAAGATAATAGTTGGTGTATCAAAAAACACATTATTGAATCACTACAAGAAAGTGGGTGCGCGTCTATTCCCATGATTATTTGAGCTATAGAGACTGATTTTTAACCGCTGTTTCAACAATTCACAAATCGTTGTTTCTTCGAATCGGTTCCTAGTGTCAGTCAATCAAGATTCGCCATCAAGAGAGGGGAGAGCCGTCGACTTTAGGTTAAGCCGGTCTCGTCATTCACGCAATTCCCCCGTCCATCGATCACGCGAGTACGCATCCAGTCAGCACATAGCGAACGAAAAAAGCGTTCAWCCTGGATTCTCTTCCTCAATAAAAATGTCGAGAAATTGATCCCTATTCATTCGGTCAAAGTCTCCACGGGCCCCTCTACTRAGAGGTGCACCATGTTGATAGGAATCGACAAAGACCTTCTTGTACACGTCCAACCCATGAATCTCAAACACTAAAGAAAAAAAGTCATTTTGTACTTTAAAACAACCCATCTCATAAATTACAAGAATAATTAATAGAGATTTGATTGAAAACATTGCCCAAAATTTCTTATAAAATATTATTCTTAAATAGCAAATATACTATCGTAGAAGTTTGAATTTAGTTTCTATGGGTCACTTCAAGTGATATTTAGTCCATATAATTTAAAAATTAGATTTAAAGAATCTTAAATTTAATTGACCTAACAAAATATCGAGATTAATAGGATAGTGAACCGATACTAAAAAAAAACCTATGCTAAAAGAGAAAAATGAGAAGAAAAAAGAGTGTCTGGTGATAAAAATAAAAATAAAGTTTATAAATCAAAAAAATTATGTTACTCAGCTAACTGCCACGTCATAACTCAACATACAAACTTCAAATATCAAAAATAAAAAACTTTTATATATACATATATAATGAAAGTTGGTTTTCTTTTTGGGAGAAAAGGATTTTTAAAGAAGGGAAGAAAACAAGTGTGAAGTTCCAAATTAAAAGAGGGTCCTTTTCGAAGAAAAAAAAAAAAAAAAGATTAGGTGGCCTTTTTTGCCCTTTTGCATTTGTTAAATTGTTATAATGTAAATTATTGACTTATCTCATTTTGAATTTTGCTTTTTGGCCCCTAATTTAGGAGGGCCCCACGTTACCGTTATCATTATAATCCAAGACCATCCGATTTCTCAGCCAGCAACAGCATCAGCATGCATGATTGTTCCACTCCCAATTTACCTTTTTGCCCTCCCATGTGCCCATAATCATCAACCCTTCCCTTTACTTAATTTCTTTTCCTCATTACTTATTTGATTTAAATATTTTTTTGACTTATTTAAATACTCTCTCTAACATCTTAGATTTTAAAAAATCAAAGATGGTTTTTGATATAACAAGCTACCAAACAACTCCATGATCATCGGAACTTCACTTCACTTTTAGCTAACAATCAAATGTAACAGTAGAAAGTTTTAGATCGAAAGGCTTTGCAAGGTTTCATCCAAAAGCCCTCATAACAATGGAGATAATTGTCCTCTCTTATATACGATGATCATTCACTTCCCTAACCAATGTGAGACTTTGTTTGCAATCACCTTACAAACCCAACAACTCATCTCATTGTCAATTGGTATTGAGGTGAAACCCATGAATATTAATAGTTTGATTTTGTGTTCAAAATATTATTTAATAAGAAATCACTATCAAATTAATTATAAGTCAAACAATGAAAAAACTCAAATTATATCATTTCATCGATCCATTCATGCAAACAAAATTAAAATGCAATTTGTTTGCTTGTTATTTCAATTTCAAAGTCAACTTAAAATTTTAAAAAGCAAATAAAACCAACCACTTCAAATAATAAATATTGTACATCCCTCTGTACACCCACTCATTAAATTTCCAAAGTCTTAGTATATGGTTTTCCTAAAAGGGTAGAACTGTAAATCTAATTTCCCTATTTAATTCAAAATTCCCTCCAAATTTAAGTAAAATGTCACATTCAAGAAACTCTGACCAAAAGAAACAATTATTCATTAAATTTCCAAATTCAACAAAATCCCAGGTCATGTTCTTTCCAACAACATTAATAAAATTTAAAAAAATTATGGAAATATTTGTGGGCACTATTAAAATTCAAACTCATGTAAAGACAAAAGAATAAAATAAATAAAAGGAAAAAAAAAAAAACTATTTCCCTTCCTTCTTATCCTTTTCTGTACCTTCAAACCACACCACTAACAACAGGCCAACTCTTATTCCAAATTCCAAAATTATGCATTTGCCCTTCATTTTAATTCATATTTACAATTAAAAAATACATTTAAATTCTTTATCAGCTGATAAATGTTAATTATTATTTTATTTCCGTCTCTAAATTTTAAATCAATTTTTTTTAGTACAACATGTTGGGAAGGAGATTCGAACTCACACCCTCTTAATTGGAGGTATATACCAATTATCTCTGAGCTATGTTCGCTTTGGCTGCATAACATTTTTTTTTAGTTTAATAATTATAGAGATGGTGATTGAATCAAATAGTAATAAGTGTGTTATAGTTAACGTGAAATTGACATGATAATACAATAACATTAAAAAAAATTTAAGATTCAAAATATGTGAGAAATTTGATCTACAAAAATAATATTTAAACCTAAAAAAAGCCAAAATTTGTACAACTATTTAATAAAATTAAGGGTTCCAATTAGCCCTTACATTTGGTCCACATAATAGTTGTTCCTTTGATTGTGTTGTTTGGCATGTCTTTGGGATGATGTGATTGAAGAAAATGTGTTTGAATTTTAACCAAGTTTATACATCAAATTTAAAATGAATTTTCTATATATACTAATTCAACTTTATAACTTAAAAAGGAGTTAATTTTTTTTTTTTGCTTTAAATAATATTTTGATGCATATACCATCACTTTGGTTCATTTTGGTAATTTTATTTTTACTTTTATATCATTTATTTGGATAACAATTTTAGTACGATAGTTCACCTATAAAAATTTTGAGACCAAAATAGTCACTCTTCAAATATACATGGACAAAAAAACAGATGTTTCAAAAGTATATGGACTAAAATAAACAAAATTTGAAAATACATGGACCAAAATAGACCTGACCAAAATGAAACTACGTTGAAAATATTGAGACCGAAATAATATTTAATTATTTTTTTAATGGACATTTGTTTAATGTTATGATCATCTTTAATATTTAATTTAACAATATTCTTGAGTTGTTGACTATTTAATTTTTAATATGACATGAATTAAGACACATAAAACAGAAAAAAAATATCTTGTAGAAGTTTGCTAAACTAATTATTGAGGAGTAATTATGAATTCGTTTAGGGGTTTTTTTTTTCTTGAAAACTATGTAATTCTTTTAGTTGATGGAACAATCAAGTTCTAAATAATAAACTTGATTTTTGTTCCTTTAATTTCAAATTAGGGGATTTTAAACCCAGTTATTGCATGGTAAATGTAATAATAATAACCATAATAATAATAATAATAATAATAAAGTCTCAAAATTCCAAATTTTGCAAAGAGATATATTAGAAATTAAAAATAGAAAACAAAATTCGAATTCCAAAGAAGGCATAAACCTGTTTTTAAAATCCAAGCTGTACAGATTAATCAATGAAGAAGAAGAAGCTGCTTCATTATCTGTCATCATAACTGTCGCCTTTTACTAATAATATCTTTTTTTTTTAATCTTCCAACGATAAGTGAAAATTTACCACCATTGCCCTTTCCTACTATTTTACCAATTTTTTCAATTAAAAATAATTAAATTACAAATTGAGTCTCGAACATAATTCAAATTAAAATACATAATTCCGATCCTACAATTATTAAACTAAGGAAAAAAACAAAATTAAAATTGAAAAATTAATAAACTCCTATGATCATTGCTACAATTCATGAATAAATAAACATAGCAATCAATATTTAATAACTAAAGCCGGTTTAATAACTTTATATTTTGAAAAATTACGTTTGATTTGTCATCATTTTTTAAAATACATATTTTAATTCTTAATCCAATTTCAAAAAAATTTGAGTTAGATTGTGAAAATATTTTTAAAAAGTGGATAAAAAACGTTGCTAAAACATAAGAGTAATATTTTTTATTTTTATTTTTATAACCGGTAATTGGAGTTGTGTTCCTCTGTACTCACCAATTATAAGCTTAATTTAAAAAACAGAAAGTAATAATAATGGTTTTCAAACCAAGCCTAAATTCGTAATTTTAACTTACCGTGGATCCTAAAATTGCAATTTTGCCAGCTTTCTTTTACATGATGTTCCAGGCGTTGGTCTCCCGATTCTAAATATTTTCATGTGTTTCGCTTTACATTTGGTCCGAATTTCAGTAGTTCCCAAGAAAGAAAAAGGGGAAAAAAGAGCGAAAACGGAAGAATAGAATTGGGGAATTGATTAAAAATCACTTTTTTTTTTGTGGGAATTTTTATTACTCTTTTCCAAATCCGAAAAGAGATCCAAACGGTTGCCGTAAGGAATTGTTTGGAACTCTACGGCTCCAGTTCCACCTACCTGAAACAAATTTTGAAAATTTTTGAGAGAAAAGCTTCAAGCAACGACAAAAAACAACCCCCAAGTTCTCACACAGCTCTCTCCTTCCTTCTCTTCCTCTCTCTCTCTCTTTTTTCTTCTCTTTTTTGGGTTTTTGGAAACAGAGTGAGGGAGGAGGAAAGGTATAGTTTCGCGAACCAGAAGCGAAACAACCAAAACTGCTTTCTATATTCCCATCCCGTTTTTTGTTTTTGTTTTTTTTTTTTCCTTTTCTTGTTGTTCTTTCTGTTGAGTTCATTTGTTCTACCTTTTCTGTTAATGGGGGTTTGTTTCTGAACGGAATTAACCTCCTTGGGTATGCCTATTGCCGTTTCAAAGTTTATTTTTTCGAGATTGTTGTGTGTTTTCTTCAAAAGTGATTGAAATTTTACCTTCGCTTTCTTATTAGCTTCTTCTGGGTTGATTTCTTTTCTCCTTTTAGCTTGTCTGGCCACTGGTTTTTGGAATTCTAATCGATTCCTAGAATCTGGGTATGTGATTTTAACATACCCGTCTGATTTTGGGTTTTCGATTAGTGGTTTTGGTTTTGTGGGGAGGTTTAGAGCGGCTGGTTTTGGGTTTGAGTGAGGTGAATTTGAGTTTTCTGGGACGGGATTTCTCTGTTTTTTTTTGGGAATTTTGGAGTAGTGGGGTTTTGGCAAAATGATGTTATCGGCGTCGCCTTCGACGATAGCTCGGAGCTCACTGGAGGAAATGCTTGATTCCCTCCGACGAAGGGATGAGATTGAGAAGCCTAAAGACTTGCCGCCTGCATTGCCGTCTCGGCCGATTTCGAGTGCTAAGATTCCCCCGGTGAGACGGGCTTTGCCCGTCAATTTCAGGATAAGTGATGACGGTTCCTCAGAATGCTCGCTTAATGGCTTTAATGGAAGGGAAGATGCAATGAGGAAGGAGAATGGTTTGGGTAACTTTGGATTCAAGAGAATGAAGAGAGATCAAAACGACGAATCGCCTTACATGGTAGCTTCAGAAAATGATAATGGAGATCAAGTGGATGGCTCGAATGGTGCTTCAGTTTTACTGTCAAATATGGAGGACAGTATCAATTATTTTCTTCAGAAGGTACTGCTTCCGCTTTAAATTTTCTTCGGGTCTTATAGCGTGATGTATGAAAAATTTTCAATGTTGAACTTGTGGAACAACCTTGCATCTCTGTTGGAGACAATATATTTCTCTCTCTCTCCTTTTTTTTTTTTTTCTTTTCTTCATTTTACCCGCTACCAAGTTTAATTGGAATCATTTGGGTGCTGGAAGGTGCATTCTATATTTGATATGCACATATCAAGTCTGTAGCACCAGGAATTTGATTATTTTTAGATTCATGACTTTCATTTTTTTTGTTATGAATAGTGGCAGTGAATAGTGGCTTTCCATTATTGGTGTAAATATAGCTATCTAGATCATGTATGTATGGTTTTCATCACGCTCTCTCTTTCTCCTTGCTCAGAAACTCCGTGTCTGGTGTCGACTCCAAAATGGACAATGGGAGTTGGGAACTATACAATCAAATGCTGGTGAGGAGGCATCTGTCATACTCTCAAACAAAAAGGTAAGTCCATAAGGTTGGTGATTTGTTAGATTCTTGAATCTTGATTGATTCTAGAACTTGCTGATGATAAATGTGCAATGTTTAGGTTATTAAAGTTCCAATCATAGAGCTTGTACCGGCTAATCCAGATGTAGTAGCAGGGGTTGATGATCTTACGCAGCTTGGTTATTTGAACGAGCCCTCGGTTATTCACAGTCTCCGGCGACGATTTTCTCACGATAAGATTTATGTTAGTGTGATTTAGTTTTGATGCATACCAAATATGTGTCTTCTTAAGATATATTTGGTTCTCTTTTTTACAGTTTTCGGGTTTCCTTGTTGCAGAGTAATGCAGGGCCAGTTTTGATTGCAGTCAATCCCTTGAAAGATGCTGAACAGTATGGAAATGAAATTATTACAGCCTATAGACAGAGAATCATGGACAGCCCTCACGTTTTTGCTACAGCAGATGCGGCCTATTCTGGGATGATGAAAGGTGGATGAATTCATCTGCACTATCTTTTGTATTCTTGTTGTGTATTTAAACTCTTTATCTGACTGGTTATAATTTATATCTAACACCCACAAATTTGGGCTGAAATTCCTGTTGCAGATGAAGTTAATCAATCCATTATCATCAGGTTAGATTTCAATCTAGTATTCTAAAATTCCGGACATTTCTGTGTGCATAACTTGTATTCGATATTATGGTTAGACTTCAATGATTTTGTTTTTGTTTTCTTCTAGTGGTGAAAGTGGATCGGGGAAAACTGAGACAACAAAAGTTGCACTACAGTACCTGGCTGCTCTTGGTAGTGTCAGTATCGTAGATGATAGAATCCTACGGGCAAATTTTATACTGGAAGCATTTGGGAATGCTAAAACCTCAAGGAACAACAATGCCAGCAGATTTGTCAGTTTCTTTTCCTTTTCTTTTATCACTTAGATTGCTTTTTTTGTCCTCTGATGAAGCCTAATTTTAAAACGGTTCCTAGTTATAAGCTGCTTCTATTTTTTGAATTTAAAATAAGAACCCAAGCAGACCTATTAGTCTGACCAAAATAGTTTGTCCATGGTGCAGGGGAAGTTGATTGAAATTCTTTTTAGCAGAACAGGGAAGATGTCCGGTGCTGTAATCCAGACTTGTAAGAAAACTTTTGTGCTAAAACTGTTTTAATAATAATGTATTATAAATTCTGTTTTGGCTTACTTTTATTGACTTTCTTTTATTGTACATGCATGTCACATGTTGACTCACCTGCCAATTTGGATTAGTTCTGTTGGAAAAGGTAATTATTTCTGTTCTATTAAATCTTTGAGAAAAACTTATTGTGTATTATGTGTCACCCTTAAGTTGTCATGTCTTCTTTGAGCAGTCAAGAGTTGTTCAGCTGATCAATGGTGAGAGATCATTCCATGTCTTCTATCAACTTTGTGCCGGAGCGCCATCAACACTTAAAGGTATTGGTGTTAGTATTTTTTTTCAATCATTTACATCAGAAGTTTCTGATTTTTTACAACCATAGGAAGCATGGCTTTTGTAATTATGATGACTGTTGTTATTTCTGTTACCAAGCAGATACAATCTTCTAAATTTATTTTTATTGTAGTAGTGCTTCATGAAGTGCTTGCACTATCTGTATCATGGCTAGAGGAATATACAATTACTGTGACCGGCTAATGCTATGATGTGAAGATTTTTTAAGACGAATGTTTCAAATGTCTATAATTTTTTAAGACATAGGAGAATCATTAATCAAAGTACACAGATCTTTTTGGATCTTTAGAATTTATTCATGGAGATCTATCTTATTTGTTGCCCCTTCTCCTATATTTTGGTACTAAAATTATCGTGGTACAATGACTACAGTCTTTGGATCTGTTACCCTCTTCATGATTATCTGAAAGTTACAATCGTTCCGTTGTTTTCATTTCTTCAGAGAAATTGCATATCAAAATGGCTAGCAAGTACAGTTACCTTAATCAGAGTGAATGCCTGGTGATTGGTGGTGTTGACGATGCACGGAGATTTCACACTCTTGTGGTAAAGAGACATATAATACTTTGATCAGCTGTGCAACCAACAAATTCTTTTTTAGATTATATTCTACCTCAAATATCTTTAACATTTCTTATTCCTCCTTGTTTATAGGAAGCCCTAGATATACTAAAATTCACTAAGGAAGATCAAGAGCATGCATTTGGTATGCTTGCTGCAGTTTTGTGGATAGGAAACATTTCGTTTCAAACAATTGATAGTGAAAATCATGTTGAGGTTGTCGCTGATGAAGGTGATGCTCAGAACAATATTTGTACTTCTTTATTTAAATGTGGCACGCATTTAATTACACCTGATGCTATAGTGTGATGTTGGTACCCTTCTGCTGTTAATAAGTAGAAGGGAGCACATTGATGTTTAAGACCTATCTGATCTTTTCTCTACAAGCTAAAACTGATAGATTGGAATATGTGGGCTTAGTTTTTACAAATGATGTCTTTCTGTAATATTTTGAAACTGCTTAGGCATTCTACTTTCTATTATACCAGTGTTTGAGTCAACTTATGCATGCCACACGACAATCTTTTGACTTTATAATATTGTAAGATATTTAATATCTACAATATGATATGATATTTAATATCTTAAGTAGGTGACTGCCAATTTGGCCCATAATCTCTCCTTGACCAACAAGGTGATCATGGCATCTTTTACTCATAATTCTCTCGATCTTTTTTCAAATACATTTAATGAGATTATTAATATATCGTATCTCTCAATATTATTCCACTCTGATGAGTAGTTTGTGTCAGTGATGGTACGAAATAAATGTAGGTAACTTTTGGATGTTTCTGTGCTTACGTGTTCATTTTTATTTGTGTATCTGCAAAAAATGAATTTTACAATTTACCTCTTCCAGGGGCAAAGTGAGACACAAGGTTGTTTTACTTACTTTAGTTTGAAAACTTGTTTTTTTTTTTTTTTACAGCGGTTGCAAATGCTGCCAAGCTGATGGGTTGCAGTTTTAATGAGCTCAAGTTAGTCTTGTCAACCCACAAGGTGCAATCTGGCAAGGATAGCATTGCTGAAAAATCGACACTACGACAGGTTGCTTTCTACTCATTTGTGAAGTCAATATATATCACTTCCTAGCTGTCTTAGAAAGAACTCTTCTATTGTAACATGATGTCCACATGTCATTACAAATACAGGCAACCTATACAAGAGATGCATTGGCTAAATTTATCTATGCAAGCTTGTTTGACTGGCTTGTAGAACAGATCAATAAGTCACTTAAACCAGGAAGGCAGCATTCTGGAAGATCCATAAATATCCTCGACATCTATGGGTTTGAGTCATTTAAGGCATGTTATTCTATCAACTTTGTGTGTGTTGTTTTTTCCTTTTTGTGCATCATGTTATGGTGATTATCTTGTTGTCCCCGAATTCAGAAGAATGGCTTCGAACAATTTTGTATCAATTATGCAAATGAGAGATTGCAGCAGCATTTTATTCGGCATCAGTTCAAACTTCAGCAAGAGGTGAGAGTCTGAAATCACCCTTCAAAAATTTTCAGATATTATAATGCTGTCTATGTTCGGTTTTACTGTAGACCTGTTTCTAAAGATGAAAGGGGTGGTGCTCTCCATTTATCCAGAAGTTTTCCATGTCCTTCCACATTTAAATGAGGCACTGTTTCGCAAGTTCTGTGGATTTTAGTATTAAATAAACCTAACTACTTCCCCAATTGGAGCTTATTTCTCTCTCCAGTTTCTATCCTAGTTTAAATTCTAGGAATTCTTATTCTTGTCCGCAAATGGTTTTTTGTAAAATTTGTGCGTTCTTGCAGATCAGGAAAAAAAAAAAGTAATAGTTGGTGATATACTTGATGTATGGCTTCTGTAAATAGCAATGTCATAGTTGATTGGTTTATTTTGCAGGATTATGAATTGAATGGAGTTGATATCACGAAAGTCAACTTCACAGACAATCAAGAGTGTCTGGATCTTATTGAGAAGGTTGTCTTAATTTTGAACGTAGATAATGTTTTGACCTCATTCTGGTGCTAAATTTTTAAACACATGCCTTAGGTTTGCATTTGTTTCTTCTTGATTGAACTGCATAATACTATTTCCATTTTCTGAGAGTGAGAATAATTTATTTTATGTGGTGGATTGTGCAGAAACCTGTAGGAGTATTAGCTTTGTTGGACGAAGAGTTAAATTTTCCCAAGGCTACAGATCTGACATTTGCTAATAAACTGAAGCAGAACTTCAAATCTAATCCTTGCTTTAAAGGAGAAAGAGGTCGGGCTTTTGGTGTCCGCCATTATGCTGGAGAGGTTAGTTGTTTCTATCTCCTTTTCACCTTTTTTTCTTTTCTAAGAAGCAAAAAAAGTTAATAACTGTCCACATATTTTGTCAACATCTTGGTTCTCTACTGTAGGTTGTATATGACACAAATGGGTTTCTGGAGAAGAATAGAGATCTGCTGCATTCAGATTCCATCCAACTCTTTTCATCATGTACTTGCAAGTTACTGCAATTATTTGCCTCCAAAATGATTAACCATTCCCACAAACCAGCAGTTTCAATGTGCTCCACAGAAGAAGTAGAATCCCCCAAGCCAGGTGTTGGTACCAAGTACAAGGTGTGGGCGATGATTTTCTTTATTTGAAATTTACATTGTAACTTGTAAAATAATTGAAATTGCATTTTTCCCAACATTTTTTATGTATTTCTCCTGTTTGGGTAGGTTGTACTATTTGACCTATTTCATAAATTGGAGCGCACCGGCCATCACTTCATTTGTTGCATAAGGCCGAACCGGAACCAGGTTTGTGGTGTATTTGAGGATGACCTTGTCTTACAGCAGCTTAGGTACTGTGGAATTTTGGAGGTTGTTAGGACTTCAAGATCTGGGTATCCTACCAGAATTACACATCAAGAATTTGCTGGAAGGTAGAAGGAAATATTTTCATTAGCTTATTTAGATTTCATGCTTTAACCAGGCTGTAATTGATTTGGTGAATATGGTGTTAGGTATGGGTTCTTCCTTAAAGAAGCTGGTGTATCTCAAGATCCATTAAGCATATCGATTGCTGTTCTCCGACAATTCAATATCTACCCTGAAATGTACCATGTCGGTTATACCAAATTGTTTTTCCGTACCGGGCAGGTGAGTCTTGTCTTGGTTGCACTTCCTTTTTTTTTCCCACTTGTTAGATAAGAAATGATATTTCAAAAACAACAATCATGATTTTCAACTTTATGTAACAAATTACATTTATGGCTTTATGATATGTGTACTTCCCCCTCTTCCTTTTTTTCCTTATGGTTATTCCACACTTTCTCATTAAGGATGGCCTGGGGTGCATTAAAGATTGAAATTTTTAGCTGCATGAACTAAAAAGTCTTGGTAGTTGGAGAGTTGAATTCTCATCTCCTGACTTTTTAATTGAAGCTTCTATCATGCTGATGGGTTTTAGTGGTTCTCAGATTAGGGCATTGGAGGAAAGGAGGAAGCTGGTTCTGCAGGGGATCCTGGGGGTTCAAAAGTACTTCCGCGGTTCCCGCGCCCGTGACCACTTCTATGAACTTAAGCAAGGAGCCACTACCTTACAATCATGTAATTCATCAATCTTTAAAGTTTGACTGCTGGTTTCTTAAGACGTTGTTGCTGTTTTTGAAGTTATATCTGATATATCCTCAAGTTGCATATTTCATCTGTCCTTAACTTTACCCCGTTTTTCTTGGGAGGATTATACTATCTAGTTATTCGTATTTACACTTATTCCTAAAAAGTTCGTCCCCCTGCTAATTAGTCTGCAGTAAGTGCTGATCAATTGATTTACTTATGCAGTCATTCGTGGTGAAAACGCCAGAAGGAGATGTACCGTTAAGGTGAAGAGGTTCCCATTCACCGTGTACGCATTCAGTGTTCCTCAAAAGCGTAATGAACTGCGGGCAATCATAAGATTACAATCGGGTAATAGTTATTGCTGGGTCGTGTTGATGTTTGTAATTGCATGATACCATTAAAAATCTTACATTTCTCATTTTTCCCCACAGTAATACGTGGTTCGTTTGATCGGAAGCATTTTAAGAGCATGTGTGATTCGAAGGAGTATTTCCCTGAAAACAGAAAACTCAAACCAAACACAGGCAGGAGGATTTCAGAGGTAAAGCCACTCCAACCCATGCTATTACAAACCTTCAACTATTTTTTTCCCTGGTGTTTTTTATTTTACCTATTTGACATAGTTGAGAGAAATGTTTTCATCTTTTTTAGAATTTGCTTTCGAGTTTACAGCATCTGACTCCCGCTCGCATACAAATATTGAGCTTTCTGTGGTCATAATATTTTTTTCTTGGCACTGCTATGTACTCTCTCTGTGGGGAAAACTTTCACTGTTCTGAATGATATGTATTAACTTGTCTACTTCTATCTGCAAAATCATTTAAGATTTGATTTTTTCGGGGATAAATCTGCACACCTTATAGCACATTTGCAAGATTCTTTTATTGCTCCCAAGAGCTTCCTCTGATGAGTGAAAATAATTCCTGCAAATTCATGCTTCAGTTGGCAACTTTTCGTGTGTTTGCTTCTTTTCTAAGTTCATATGATTATTTACTGAGTAATTGTACTCGTACGATTATATTTGCTTGTAATCAACAAGTTCATGCTTATTTGTATGTGTGAGTCCGTGACAGTTTCCTTTTTTTTTTCTCAATCAGGATAAATCTCAAGAACAGGTTCAAGCCCTGCCCACATCTCTGACCGAGCTTCAAAAGCGGGTACTCGCTGCAGAAGCAACCATTGAGAAAAAGGAAGAGGAAAATGCTTCTCTGAGGGAGCAAGTAAAGCAATTCGAGGCAAGGCGGTTAGAATATGAAGCAAAGATGAAGTCCATGGAGGATATGTGGCAAAAGCAGATGGCATCTTTGCAGGTAAGTTCACAAGTACATAATCTTCTTGCAAATTTGGATTTTTCTCCTCCAAACACATTCAACCAGATCTATTCTTTGTTCAACTCTGCCAGATTTACTTGTCTGCAAAAAGTTGGCTATAAAAAAGCGTCTATAGTCATGAAAATCTTCCGGATATTTAGATATATTTTGGACATATCTCATTTGATTATAAGAGTTTCTAGATTCTTAAGCTGTAATACTTCTTAATGCAGGTGAGTCTTGCTGCTGCTAAAAAGACTATTGCTGCTGAAAATGCACCACCTCACTACTATGATTCCGAAGATACATCTATGGGATCTCGAACTCATGGTGGTACCACACCTATGAAAGTTTCTGGAGTTTCTGAAGGCGGAGCAGGCCGAGAAATGAATGGTACTGTAGCTGCAGTGAACAATCTTGTAAAGGAATTTGAACAGAAAAGAACAACATTTGATGATGATGCCAAAGCTTTAGCTGAAGCAAAATCAGGCCAGGCACAGACCGGGGCCAATGTGAACCCAGATGAAGAATACCGTAAAGTTAAAGTCCGGTTCGAAGCGTGGAAAAAGGAGTACAAGGCCAGATTGCGGGAAACAAAAGCAAAGGTTCATAAAAATGGACATTCAGAAGTCGAAAAACTTCGTCGAAAATGGTGGGGGAAGTTGACCACAAGAGCATCATAGGCATGTTAATTTGAGACAATGAATTCAGTTCAGCTATGTGAATGAATGGAGAGCTCTTGAGTCAAGTTGTCTTCTCCTGACAACTTGTGGGAGTTGAGGCTAAACCTGGCAAAGCCAAGAAACGCATCGGCCGTTCGTGAGACGGATGGAGGGGGAGAGTGTCTAGAAGATTGTGAATAGCTAAATAGTGATGTGCTGAGAGATTTCAGAACCGTCGTCTCCGCTGCATAGTTTAGTTTGTTGTGTATAGTTGGGTGTTGTCATTTTATTTAGTATAGATGTTGATAGTTTGTAGCAAAAGGGGAATAGAAGAAAGTATATTGGTTTGTACTGTACTTGTTAATAGAGTGCCTGAGCTCTATTATTTAATGGAAAGTTTTAGTTTACTGGTATTCCTTGCATCAGTTGGGATTGGTTCCTGTTTTGAAGGTGCAAACAAAATCTATCCACAACCACATTCCCAGATCTTTCTTTGGCCCTCCTCCATGGAATACAAAAGGAAAGCTTTTTCTTTTCGATGGATATTAAAAAATGCATCATCCCATCAAACTTTTTGTCCTACTGGCTTATTCATTATTTGTTAATCAAAATGGCGTGCGCAGAGCATAGCTAAATGATTTTACTTCTAAAAAAGTCGAGATTTGAATCCTTCAAGATGTGCAGGCAAAAAATAGTGGATCGAACACGTGACCTTCAAATCTTCAGTCTGACGTTCTCCCAACTAAGCTATTCCCGCTGTAATGTTTGAAAGTTAGTTCTACATTTATTTTATTAATATTATCTTGATAAGAAAAATACCGATGAAAAATTTTGCGGTGAGCGTGGATCGAACACGCGACCTTCAGATCTTCAGTCTGACGCTCTCCCAACTGAGCTATCCCCGCAACTGATGTAAATTTGAAAAATGCTTATTTTATCTTATACCAGTTCGGACAAATGAATGATAATTAAGGATCTTTCTTTTTGTAAAAAAAAAATTTACGAGCTAAAAGCATACATGTTGCTGGGGAAAGAAAAAAAAATTATTGTTGCTTTCTAAATATCTAAAAACTATTTTTTTTTAATAAAATACATTTTCTTGATTTTCCATCATTTATCTAATTTGAAAAATGAAAAAAAATTGAAATAAGAATGCGAGATATTAACATAATTTGAACTTGTTTTGCAAAGATTTTGATCCTTTAACTTCAGTAAACATTTTCTTAAACCAAGTTAGATACTTATTTTGATCAGTTCTGGCTGATGGATGAACTGGAGTTACGCACATCAAATTACAAAAGATATTAATTTGTTGCCATTTTTTGAGTTGAATAATACAATAGTATGTAATTTGTTTTATTTATTACTATTACTACTATTATGTAATTTGTTAAACAAGTGAACAATGAAATTATCTTCAAAGATACAAGCATTAAAAGAAAATTATAACTAGAATAAAGCTCGTGTAACCAAAAAAAAAAATGTAAAAGATATAAAATTAGAATTAAGCTGCCCTCAAATTAGGATCATATTTACTCTGCTTACCGACCAACACCTACAAAACATCCAACTTGGCTAATAAACGGAACTCTCCAACTGAAATGTGCAACATCACAAAAACGATACAGCGCCCCACGAATTACACGATCGCGGATTTGCACAGTAGATGAGTTGAATGGATAGAAAATATGTTCCGCGACTCGGGTCGAAAATCGCCTCGCCACATGCCACAGCTGCTAATGAATCTATGAGGAGGTTACACTCATAGCAAGGGAAGCTACCTACCTTCTCAATGCACCATAATTTCTTGTCACCTGAAAATGGAAAAGTAGATCAATGGTAAATGAATGAAGAGGGCCCTCTCTCTATCTCTTAACTGGAGCAAGGGTAATGATGTGATTTTCTTTTTAACAATAGTGAGTATTGACTATCTTGTTCACGCCTCAATCCTACTGCTACGGAAAATTTTATGACTTTGGTTGATGGTCATCATGATTTGAATCTATAACTTCAATCATGGTAAATGTATGATAGATTTTCTGAAAATAAGAAAATTGTATTTACAATGAAGCAAGTGAAACAAGAAAAAGAAGGAATTTAACAAGTGATGCACGAATGTTTATGCAAATTCCGTCCTGGCAAAAGAAAGTGTTTTAACCATGTGCTGAGTGAAGAAAGAATATTTAACAATTTTCTTGTCCGTGTAAAAGGAAATTAATGAGCTACTAACCCGAGGCTGAGACTTATTTAATAGCTTTCTTGTGTTGTCTTCGTCGTCGTCATCATCGTCGTCATCAGCTTGGCCCATGAACATCCTCTGAGCTGCAGAGTTGTCTGATTTCCTTCCCCGCTTAGATTGAGTGGATCCTCTCCCTCTGCCCCTTGGAGCAGTGCGCTTTGTTCCTTTGCTGAGAATTTCATCATTTTCCTTGTAGAAAATGAACGAATGTGGTTCAACAGATGGATCAAATAAAGCATGATAGTTCTCTTTTAAAATCTTGGGAAATTTTTCGCAGGCAGAATCAGCTAAAAATTTCAATATGAAAAGTTCAACAGTTGTSTACGATCTTTTCTTTGAATTCGACAATCTGCACCCGAATCAACTACAAGCTAATTGATAAAGATACCCTACCGAACTGTCATTAATTTCTTCAATCTCATTTTCTCTTGCTGCTTCGCTAGAAGCAGAATTCATAGTATCTGTGTCCGCTGTGCTTCGGATTGCAGCAGATGCCGCAGCAGATGCAGATCTGCAATATTCAGCCACAGCATTTCATAATATCATTTAACTGAAACACGAAGATCATTATTTGTATTTTTGTCATACAGGCAACTAGCAGTATCCTACTTACAGCAGTATTATCAATTCCTTTGTTTAAGAGAGAAAACAAGATGATTTCTGACATTAACTTTATGCTTAAGTTTTATGTACAGAGCTGGAACTATAGATGGGTGTTATCGGGTTCTGATAATGCCTCTGTTCTCTTTTGCCAAGTAGCATTCACGCTTACAATCTCTTAATACTAAAATGTAATGAAAATAAAGAAATGGTGCAAGTAAATAAAAAAATGAAAGGACGCTTTTTCGAAGAGAGAAGAATGAAGTTGTATATGAATTGATCACAACCTACGACTAATGTCCTAATTGCCTAATCCAACCGTTCTATTTTTCTTCTTGGTTGGGGAGGGTGAAATTGTTGACAAGCAAAATGATAGGAATGCTATTAGGATAGAATTGGGATATTATTAGGGTATCAAGGGTATACTAGTAATTAATTAGATAAGAAAGTTGTTAGGAGTTTGGTTATAAATAGAACGAGAGAGAAATGATGAAGGTAGACAATTAGTAAGTATGGTTTAGACTTGAATATTACTCAATAGAGGAGAGGGTTCAAGTAATTCGAATTACATTACAATATATTTCTACTTGTTCGAGTTCTATCACAAAACCCCACAACCAGAAACTACGTTATAGATTACTGCCTGACCCTACTACATTTGGTTGCCAATGTAATTTATAAGATATTAAATCTTAAGTAGTTGGCCACCATGATTTCAACTCATTCTGTCTAAGCCTTTTACTATTTTCATTGGCCCTTATTGACCAATAGCAATCCCGGATAGTTTACTCGACATGCATATTAAAGAGTAATTATTACTTCTTCCTTTGTTTCAAATCCCTGACCCATAGCAGGCAGATCTTTACAGAGATAAGTACGGCGTCTAACAGTAGATTTCAGTTCTAAAAATTTCTAGTTACGAAACAATAATTACTATAAATTGAGTCAGAAAAAACCTCTGTGATGGTCGAAATCCAAGAGCTGCATCAAGAGTTGTCTGCTTCAGGCTACTGGCGCCCCTCCCTCTACCCCTTCCCCTTCCCCTTCCTCGTGTAGAAGTTCTATTTGGAGTATCATCAGCTGCCCTTGATGATGCTTTTCGTCCTCTAGTGGACTTTGACCCTGATGCTTTCATTTTATCCTCGTCATCACTGAAAGAAACAGCAGACCCAACTGCCGTGGAACTTTTACTACCAAAATCCTGATATTGCATATAGTCAACAAAATTGTAATAGATGACAAGAAAAACAGAAAAATCTTTGTTCTGAGATGTAAGAGTAGAATAAAGTATAATTACTTTTGAAGACTGAATAGATGATGTGAATGCCACATCGTTCTTGGAACGGGTGTTCCTCCCCTTGACACGTTCCTGTGAAAAATAAATTCCATTATTAATTAAATGCAAATTTACTCCCTCCGTTTTCTTAATTAAAAAAAGATTTAAACGAAACGTATAACTTTTCTTTCATGGGTATTTATACAACACTACATAAATTTAAATTGGTTTGCCCTCGTTTGTATGATTACCATCCTGATGTCTGCACTTATTCCATTTATAATTGCTTCGATTTACTTTATTTTTAATTATTTATTTTTTTCTGCGTATATGTGTGGGTGAGAGAGGGCGTGTGGGAGAGAGAAACTTTCCTCCAGGCACTCCCCAACTTTAAGAATTAAATCTTCTTCTTCAAACTTCAAAGAATCTGCGTCTTGAGCAATTTTACTCTGACGAGAAAATATAAGAATTATTAGCAGTAAGCATATAAAGGAAAATAGAAATATAGGCAGTAGGATATACTTGAGCAAAGAAATTTCCAATATTTTTGGAAGCTATTATCATTGATAAAAACTTTCAAACTTGTAAGTATATCTAGAAGTACTTACTCGTGTTTCTTCTAGATTGAATTGCACACAGGAATAAAATGCCATTTTGTCATCTTTGTTTACAAAATTGTGCAACGCAACATCCAAATCATTGACAGGAAGGATCTCCATTTTCTGAATGATCGAACATGGTCGTAGCCACAACACAAAGAATTAATAAAAATACTAAGATATAGTTGGTTAAGAAGCAAAATATCAAGCACAAGTGCATCATCTTTATCATTTTGAACACCCCACTCTTGAAAAGAAAAAGAAAAAATGATAATAATAAAAAGCAAAGACAAAAAATATTATAAATAAATAAATCAGCAGAATAAAATAACCCAAACAATGTAAACTTGTAAGTTGTAACCAATGCATCTTGTGACCCTAATTATGGTCTATTTCATGTGAAAACTTAATGACGGTAAATTATGATTCCCAGGAATATAAAGTATATCACACAGTAACCCAGAGCAACCCTACAAAGTTGATATAATTAAAGAAATAGTAAAAAAGAAGAATAAACAAAATATGAAGGTTTGTACCAGATTATTTTCTGCAACTAAAGCCTCTATGTTTTGTTGATTTAGTTCTTCCGGACGAAGCCTTTCTGAATCGTCAATTTTCACTATTAAAAGAAAAAGGAAAGAAGTTAAGAATACAAAAAACTATGATGCAATAACTCGTATGGCATTTGGTGGAAAAGCTAGTAGTTAATCACCTTCGTTGCGACCTTTTCTTGAAGCTTTTGAGAATATAAGGATGTCCTGAGGATTCGCTACCTGAGGAATAAAAATGTTAAATTGTTCTCAACAATATTGAAAAGTGAATGCATCTGTATCTGATCCAGGATGTCCAGTAAACCAAACTACCTTTCCAACATATTTCTGACCAAATCTTTGAGGATTTATTGTCATAAACCCAGAGTAATCCACCTGCCAAATTAAATAAGTTTATGATGATCCATACACATAGCATTTCATTTTTTCTGAATAGAAAATCGGCATTGTATTGATTGCTAAGATTTTAGGAGAACCAGAGAGAGGTAAATGATAAAAATGAGATTAGAGTTAGAAGTCACATGGCTAATTTCCGATAGTGCACAGGAATCTGCTAAGGAAATTACGATGAAAATGGAAGAGTAACCATACAAGGACTGTTTGAGAAGGAAAAGCACGTTTCAGTTCAGTGCCAAAAGCCAATTGAGATGTTATGTGCAAAATGGCCCCAAAAGATGCAGTTAACCTTATGACTTGAGCTAGCAAGATGCAAGAAAGAAAAGACATAGAAGCAATAACTAGTTGCCAGACAAATACAATTTACAAATCAAACAGGGCTCTAGACGCAAGGTAAAAATTACAGTGGCAAAAATAATGTTCCTTAATTCAGTTGGATATAGATCTTTTTCGAAGGACAGTTTACAAAAAGATTGAAGACACTCAGCTCTAAGGTAAACACATAGGAGGTAGAGAGGTGTTTAAATAACTTTCACATAAGAACTGGGGTTCAGAATACGTGTTACCTTTATACGGACTAAAGGAAGCTTAAGCTCTGATCTGTTAACAGCCCTTTTGCTTGATTTCTCAATCAAATTTTGAACCTGATAAAGATTAGAAAGTGTACTCAATTCACACTCTGACTACAGCACTGTCTATCACATAAAACTTTTTTTTTTACTTGCACCAATAAAACAAAATGGGAAAACGAGGACAATATTCCAACAGTATTTGAACAGTAATGAATTTTATGTACCACGTTGTCCAAGTGTTCGATAATTGAGTTCTGATCGTTAGAGTCAATGTCAGGCTCATCCTTTAATACAATCTGCATCACAAAGTTTGGTTAATCAATCATCAGGTTATTATTGATGAAGATCAAATAAAAACCACATCTAACATTACCTCTGTGTACTCAAATGGCCTTACTGATGTCAAAGGTATCTTGGTTGGCCGATATTGATTACCCTAAATATAAGATAATTAATCCATGATTAAGAAAACACAGATCTAACTATATTGCAGCTTACAAACATACATGCAAAAACATTTTTGACACAGACAAGTAAAAAACCTTAATTTCCAACAAAAGAACATGCTTCGGCTTTGATTCACCATCAATCAGTGATGTAGCAACTGAGGAACCTGGTTGTGTAATGTGAAATCCCATCCCAGGAACTTCCTGGAAAGAAATAGTAGGCATTCAATTTAATCACTATCCCAACAATTATCCACTTGTGCTTCTTCTTTCGGAGAGAGAGAATGATGCTACCAGAGGGTCAACCAAACATTCGTGTTCATGTCCCCACACAATAAAGTCCAGGAAGCGAGGTAAAAAATGCTCATTTATAGCATTTTTAGGATTTGACTTTACTCTGCAGGCCAAAATAATTTTCTGTGAGAATAATTTAATATCCACTAAACTGGCACCGTAGCAAGGATAGTGCATTCCACATGAAATCATTAAAAGATATTGTTAAATGAGAACATTAACTTTTCTCCAAATGAATCTACTAGGCATGAACATTTAACCTGTTCTGATGAAGTACCAGAATGTTGAACCAGTCTGTCACTTCACACCCTTCCTGAGCTTCAGGCCGCATCCACTGAACAGCATGTGGTGTCTGAGAAGTAAATGAATGTAAGTATCATAAATACCCAAGAACACAAAGGTTGATTACAACATAAAATACCTGGAACATCCTGTTCAGCCTTTCATCTCTAATATTTCCAAGACCATAAAGAGCCACGGATGTTGAACCCTGAAAACTTATAGCAGCTCAGATTATTATGTATACTGACTTGATTGCATCGAAACTACCCACCAACCAACCTTCCTGATAAGAATGGGGCAGAGAGTGATCTGACCAACACCAGAACCGCCAAGAACCATTTTCCCAAAGTAGTTCACAAGATTGCATGCAGAGAGAATATCAACAGCAGAAAGGTTGTCCTATCCACATAATGATAGTGAAATGGTATCAAGATAGGGAAAGCATTAACGGTATTGACCTATAGCAGTAGCATAACAATAGGGGCGTGGGGGAGACCCAAAAATTGGGAAATATCTTTTTCTATGATAGTAGCTAAAAAAATTGAATGGCCAATAGAACACACAGAAGAAAAATAGCTAATTGTAGACATTTCAGACATAATGGATAAGTAGAGTAAATTACTAGTTAGACCCTACGAACCAAACCCAGGACCCAAACCAGCTAAAAAAACCTGCGCTGGTGTGGTTAAAGTATTGACTGTGCCAAAATATCATATTAAAATACATCCAACTACAAATAATATTCATACCACTCCAGCAGGATCGTCATGGTTTCCATGAATACTGAATACTGGCAAACCAACATTAAAATGAGGATCTTCATAGTTGACGTAACCGAATCTGTTCAAGGGATGAATGCCATCAAGAACAAATAAAACATTTGGAAACCAACTTCTTCATGTTTCTAGATTTTAAATGAAGTTTTCCAGAGGATATAACACAGCTAATTCATTCAAACATTAGGTACGGTAATGCAGTTTCATCTGGAAGTCCATTTGCAGGATACAACTTTCCTACTTTCCATTACAAGGTAATTGAGGATAATAGTGTGGACAATATGAAACTAATTCGGAAGATCCAAAGCAAGGTGATATAAAAAGCATGAACAGGAGAACATGGTGTGGATTAATTCAGATAAACTGTTAGCATAGCGAAGCATGAAGAATAAGAAGATATGAGAATTATGCACGAAGATGTTACGTGTTTGGAAAATTGATGGTTTGGTCGCTAACAACTTGGAAATCCACTGGTTCATCATTAAGGCAATGACGACGCAGAATCTCAATTGCCTTCACTAATGTTGATCTTGATGGTTTGTTCTCATGGAAGAGATCGCCACCAAGAAGTAAAAAGTCCACCTGAATGGAAACGATTGCTGTAAGGAGTAGAATTCAACAAGAGAAACAACAAATCTAGCATAGGGGCAAATAATTTGGAACAATTTATCAATTTCTACAATAAAAATGTTAGCATATTTCTTCAGCTCATGCCTGGAATTATTTTTACTAGGAACAAAGGGGCTGATCAATAGGAGTAGAATTCATATACAGACCTAAGGAAAAGTGAAACACAGGAATAATTAAAATTTGTCCATCACCTGCTTTTTCTCAGCAATTGAGCATATCTCTTCAAATGCCTGGAATGAATCATGCCGCCGTATTTCATCTTTTTCCATATAGCCCAAATGGCAGTCTGTTGCGACAAGTATTCGGAGTGTGTTTTTCATCTCCTCCCTGGTAATTTATCATTCTGAATTCACATATAATTATGAAAGTTTTTGGAAATAGAACAATAAAATGTTTTATCCATCTGCTTGCATAGATGATTCAGAATTATAGATTTTTTCAGCAAGCAATGAAAAAATTTTCCAAAAAGATCGCACAAATTTGATTTGTTGAAGCTCTCCAACATTTAGAAATGAAAGACAAAATAAAAACCTCAAAATAAGCATAAAGAAGACAAGTTTTACCGAGACAAATCCCCCATCGCAGTAAGCTTCGGCTTCCCTCAAACCTACATTAAAATAAATGTTATGAACAGTTAAACCTGAATCCCACATATCTTTAAGTTCCCGATCATGAGCACTCCCAGCTGTCTGATGTAAAAGTTAAACGTCCATTTCTACAATATCTCGCATCATTTCCAAAACGAAGTTATGAACTACCAGAAATTTAAAAGTACTACTAAGAGCAATATAATGTATATTCCACTAAAAACTCCAACTATATAAGCTTAGTTACAATTTATATATCGAATTAAACCCTAAACGGGATTTTAAACCCAAACACTCAAAATTGATACAGAAAAGAGCGAGCACTTCATAGCAGGTGCGAATAAGCTAAGCAACTGAGACTGTATCCGTAAGCGCGAGATGGAGTAAATAGAGAGACAGCTGATCTCTCCACAACGAGTTTGTGATTGATTTCGTAAAATAAACAGAGAATTCTTATTCAACCTGCATTTTCACTAAAACCAAACAACAAAATGGAACACGAAATCAAGCGAAACAAGGTTTCTGTACCTATGGTTATGACGATTGCACGAGCTAGTGAGCTAGCAGAGCGAGACTTCATTGTTCAGACATGGAAACGTAGAAGAATGAGGTCAAAGCGCTGAAGCGTGGCGGAGAATTTTTGAAGCAACCGCGGGGGGCTTGGAGGGGCGGGTTGTAAATTGTAATAACATTTTCGCTTCATAAGCAAACTTTAATAAATTAATAATTGGTATTTCTTTAATCTGTATTTATTTTTTAACATTTCAAGTTTCAACTCAGAATATATTGATTTCCCTAGTTAGAGTAAAGATTTTTTTCCATTATTTTACCCTTAAGAATCGTGTTTTTAGCATACTTTAAGTATTCAAGACCTTTCATTCGAAGTTATCTTGAGTTATATATACATATAAGACATTTTTATAACATTTAAATTTGATTTATAACAAAAATTACGATTTTGTACAGGAAATTACTAAACTAGGCGTCTAACGCCTTGTCAGATATCGAAATTGTCATTAATGTGAAATACGAGTTTTTGTGTATTTAGAAGCTTTTCCCAACCCTCCACGTATCTTCCATACAACGATAAAACCAATTCAATGACCAACTAAATTCAACATCCTCCCTCACTTTATTCATCGTCCAAAATGATCAAATTTAGCTTTTTACTCTTTTGTTCTTAACCTATTTCGTTTTCGTTTAGTTCTTTCGTTTTCTGTTATTTTAAAACATAGTTTACTTCAAGTTTATTCTTAGTTTCCAACTCATTGCTTTTTAGCCGTAAGTTTTGAATTCCACTCAAATTAATTCTGGCTTGTTCATTAATCTTCATCTCTCCCTTTGTCTACTAAGTTTGTAATCATACAAATTTGTGGAATCGACTAAATATTACTCCTCAGATCTCTAAAGATAAAGAGTTAGGGTCAGGTTACAAACTTCTTATTTGCAATTTGTCCTTATTTTACTCTTCTTACCTCATGTCTTCCATTTATAACAATGTTCAATTCTGTTTTTCCTTTAAAGTTACGAGCTAAATTTATTTCCCAAGCCCGATTATGGACAATTAGAAGGTTTTTAAAAGTTCTAAAAAAAAAACTAATGGTCTGTTTGGTTGGAAACTTTGATTCTGTTTTTTTTGTTTTCAAATTCAATGAATTAAATGGATTCAGTGAATACGCGTTTGGTAGTATTTTGGATATTCGTTTTTTAAAACTATTTTCGGATTGTGTGATCCAAACAATAAAAATTCTGAAAATGATTTTTTATGTTTTCAGTGTTTTCAGATTCAGAATTTGAAAATTTTGAAAATGCTGAATTACATTAAAAATAATAAAAACTTTGATAAATATATTATTTCATATTATAAACTCATTTTATATTTGTTAAAATTAAAACATGTAAAATATAATGTATTCTAAATGATATAACATTGTAAAATAACAATTATACAAAATTCATAAAAAAAATGTTAATAAATTAATTAATATAAGTTTAGATTAAACTAAAATTTAGTTTGCAACTACTTCTGGTTTACAAATATATTACTAAACATACATTGAACAATTTTTTAAATTGAGATTCAATTACGAAATATGCTATCAAACACATATTCGAAAACACTGAAAACAAAGAATACATCTGGTTTTTATTGAATCCCTTGTTTTCAAATTTCTGTTTTCTGATTACAACCAGTCTTTAAAAATCCAACAAGGCAAAAGACATTTTTCTTTTCTTTTATCACTTAGGTAGTTTTCTAAAGTTAAAACTTGATTTGGCCCATTGATGTTTTAACCAAACATCAATTCTGAAAAGGTTGATACATTTTTACAACTTTAATGTTTTAACTTTGAAGATAAATACTTTAGACATAAAGATTTCGCTCGGGTAGCCTATACATAAGACCTCAACCTAAGATTACGGTTGGTTTTTATTAAATTAAGTTCAATTTTCTAATAGACATATTAGGGATGGACTTATACCTTCGAAATTACTTACACATAGAGAATATGTAAGATGAAAAATATAGCGAGTGTCTAACGTCTAGTTGGAAAAATTTGATGTATTTTTAGCTAATTCGAACTAACTGAGTTTAGTTTACCGTATTGAGTCTTAAAATATCAAAACCAACACTATCTTTGATATTTGTTACCCAAAAAGTCACCTAAACAAATTTTAACTCTTGACCTATTTTGTATATGTGGACAGAACCACTATCGCGATTATATCGTTCAACAAAAACGTCTTAGTTTAAATTATATGTTTTATAAAACATTTCCAGCCACAAGTCCAATCTGACGGCCATGGCGCTTCTGTGAAAAGGTTTTTGCGCCTACTCCAAATACTTTTTACAAGCCTAATAAAACAACTTCCAATACAAACACATTGTTTTCGATATCTAAATCCATAATAAAGGTTTTCATTTTTTTTTATCTTTTGATATTTCGAACAGTGAATTCGAATTCCCACCTCCACGTGTTGTTGTATTAAAAAAAAACATACACAGTGGTCATTCATTCTCCCAGCTTATTTTAATCCAAAAGAAACAAACCTTATAAATAGTAAAATCCATTCCATTCAATTTCAATAAATGATCCTAAATGGATTGATCTATCAAACACAAGGTTGTATGAGGGCATTCAGTTAAATCTAGAGTTTTGATCCAAATATCTCTCCAAAAAGAGAGACTTTCTTTCTTCAACTACAAGCACACTTTGCATAAACAGGAGAGAGAGAGAGAGAGAGAGAGAGAGAGAGAGAGAATTTATATATAAATTTGGGAAATAGAGAGAGAGAGAAGCAATTTTGGTTCATCCTTTGAGAGCCTCCAAAGCAGCAAACTGATCAGTAGGCTCAGTTTGTTGTGGGCCTGCAGAGCCTCTAAAGAGCAAAACTGCAAGGTTTCCAACACAAAAATAGATGAAGCACCCAAAACAATGTGTCACAAATGATCCAAAATCTGTGCCGACTATGCATTGCCATCCTGGCCCATGTATCCTGTCAAATTCCTGCCAAAATTTTCAACCCAAAATCAGCTCCTCGAAACCCCGCTGGGTAACAATTTCGTTTTGAATTTTCGAATTCGAGAAAGTTAACTATCATGGATTCACCTCTCTATCGCTAATGTAAGAGAAACAAGTTAAATACGCATTGGATAGAGGACTAAATCTCATGACAATTATTAAATATTAAAAATCTTTTTAGTTTCTTGATCACCTCCTACTGCGAGCTTGAATCTCCACCACACATGTTGTAATAAAAAAATGTTATTAGATTTGAGATCATACAATGGAGTGCGACTAGTAAGATGATGCATAAACTGGCACGAAATACTCATCCACTAATCAACAATTCCTTCATTCATGCAGTTTTTCTTTCTATGAAGTGGATCAATCTCTTTTTGGCTTTGACCAAACATTTTTCTTGTTGGTCGGCTTATCTTCAAAAAATTTCCTCAAACAAGCTACTTTTAAATCTTATTTTGGGCACTGATTTATTTTCGACATGTACTTTCACTTTTAAAATGTTGATTTTGATCTTTATACTTTAAAATCATGACAATTTTAGTTTGTATTTAGTAAATTAATTCGAAATCTTTTACTACAAATCTATAAAAATATATATTTTATTGCGTGTGGTGTTATGAAATTGAGATGGAAAAAAAAGATTTAAACAAATTTATAATATTTCCCACATGATTTTTGTTTTTAATTTATTACCTTTTTAATGAAACGAGCAATATCTGTGGCTTCAGTGACATCGAAGCTGTCGAGGGCCTTAGCCGCAAGGTCCAGCGCGTCCTGCTGCATCCCCTGCAACATATCCGTCTCTCCGATTATTGCTTTACCTTCCAACATGGCTGCAGCCACCGTCTCCAAAATACAGCACCACGGCGGAGCTGACGGCGGCGGCGGCGGCGGCGGCTCTGGGCGGAGGAGGGGAGGGAGCAGGCCTATTTATATAGAGCTTTAGGATAAACTTTGGCTGGTGCTGGCTCCTGCAAGGTCACCCACGTCAGATCCTCTCTTTGTGGTCACCAATAATACTGTATTGATGCTACAGAATCATTCCATTTATTTCATTTTGATACCGGATAAAAAAAAGGATAAAAAAAGGTCTTGTCGTGATTAAAATCACTGCTAAATCCAAAACTTTTATCGAATAAATTAGGATAGGTTTCAAAATTTTCTGTATGGTCCCGATGCTACTATTTTACTTCTGTGTTGGTTCGGATATAGTTGTACACGTAGATTGTTATATAAAATTGAGACAACAAAGATTGAATTTGAGATTTCGAATTCGAATTTATAGCTTCTTGATAGGAGTGCATATGTCTTTAGCCATTGAATCATGTTCGGTCGGTAACATTATTGTGTAGAGTGTCTTAAAATTTTAAAAATTTTTCAATTACAACTAAAATTATTATTCATAGATTCTAATATCCATCCAATAATTCATAACTCAATAGATAAAGACGTCTTTTACTATCCATAAGATTGATGGTTTGTCCCTTAACTCTTAAGGGTTATTGAACTAAAAATAAAAAGGTGTTGGCATCTAGGGTTCGGCAATAATGATATTTAGTGAAAATTGTCGAAATTTTTATCAAATTAAGAGACTAAATTATACGTAATTATCAAGATTAAATTTATGGGAACACTTTTGTCTATGATGTTTCGGCTTGGTTTTTATTTGGTCCATGAATTTAAAAACCCATTATATTTGGTACATGAAGTTTGAAGTTAGTACTTGATTGGTCCCTGAATTTTGAATTTTGACTCTAATGATCAGTCTCTGAATTGTTTTTTTTACGATTAGTTGACTTAACGAAATGATAATGTGGCAGTTAACATATATATGTTGACTAACTTTGACTGATGTGTGTTTTTTAAATGAATTGACAAATTTTATTAGTGACATTCTTCTCTCTTCCTCTTCCTCCCTCCCTTCTCTTCTCTTTCCTTTCTTCCACTCTTTCAACAACTTCAGACCGTATGTTAATTTATGTTAATTGTTGTATCATTATTCTGTTACGGAACTAACAGTCAACTCAACTTATGGATTAATTACAAACCAAACTCAAATTTCAAGGACCAATTTAAAAACTAAATTCAAACTTCAGACCAAATATGTCACTCTTTGAAACTTAACACTTAAATCTTAGATACTAAAAATGACGATATTTAAAATTCGGTGAGCATACAAAAACCAAATTCAAAGGGATTGAAAATGTATTTTACTCTTAAATATATAAATTAACATGTATTGTTCTCTTTACAAGTGGACCATTTTCGGCCATAAGAGTTGGTGCTAAAATAATGGACAAGATTGGTGGGCACGATGGGCTTGTGGAATAAAAATTACCAGGAATTTATGGTCCAGATTCAACTCTTGCTTCTGCACTGTGGTCCTTCAGTAAGATTCTGACACGTGGCATTTGTCGAAATTTCTCTTATGTTTATCGTGGAGGAAAAAAACCCCAAATCAAATTAGTTATGGTTTAATAACTATTTTGTTTTTTATTAAGTCTTAACTAATTTTTAAAGAATAATAAATTTAAACTTTTTTTTTAGTTATTAAAATTTGGGTTAGATTTTTTTTTTAAATAAAATAAATAAACATGAAGTAGTGCTTATAAATTTAATTTAAAAGAATATAAAATTAAAAATAAAATAGATATTAATTGAGGGGTGTAATTAAATTTCTCTCAATATGTATGTATAGTTTAATTGATTAATGTTAGACTATGGTTACTTGAGGAAAATAGAAACAAGAGGGAATGAGAATCAGTTCTTCCTCGTTTTTTATTCATGTTATATGCTAACTTTATAAAATCATGAAAATTGATGTTTTATTTATGAGATTCACCAAAAAAAAATAATAATAATTTTTTAAGGACGGGGATAGGTTTATTCTCAATCTCTCATTTTTGTGTTACTCAACATGTATGTGGGGGCACAACTCAAATGAATCGAGGACGAGATAAGCACGATAGATTCATTCATGATTGACGACCCCTTAAAAGCCCAATTCGGCAACGATTGGAAAATACAGATACCGCTAACGTAAAATCTATTGAATACTGTGATACGAAGTGTCGGAATGATAGGACAATACTTCCAAAGCTCTCTTATAAAAGGGCAAAGTCCTCGCAAAAGTACTACACGTTCGACTCAACACCAGCTCAGATTGAGTATAAAAACTTAACTTTTAGAGTGTACGTGGTCGAGAACCACACCAGTCCTGAGTTTTGTGCAGAAATAATTATCTCGACTGATAGGACATTCACCTCGAATCAAAAGTCGCTTGTCACCTCGTCCAGAACTTTGCGTCAACCCATATTATTAAAAAAATAATCTTATTTCATATTGTTGACGGCAAATTCCGGAGAGGTCCATGTGTCCCTTGGAAGGCTAACTTCGCCTGAAAACAAATGAGCATGTAACCAGAAAACTCGACACCGGTGCGGTGTCCCGCCTAATGACCTCCAACGCTTAAGTCAGTAATCGGAGTAGTGAATAAGAAAGAGATACCTAAAGTATTAGTGATGAGTTTTTCACTTACTTGGTGAAGGTGAGGGTCCTTCCTTATATAGGCTTGGATGGCCGACCAGGGAGGACGAAGGTTGGGATGACAGGGGCACGTCGCGAGGTACAGTACTTGTCAGGGATGTACGTCCTAACAACAGGTGAGTGGTGTCTCCGCCTGCAGGCTGTGAGTCTATTACCTGCCGGTGGCAAGTTGTGGGCTCGGCGTGCTCCCCATACCGTGAGAGTGGAAACACGTCTTTCCTACCATCGCAGCGTACGGTGTATAACTGTCCATGATCCCATCCCTTTATGAGGGGGACACGCGTCATGCTCGGATTTACCCTCAACACATATTATTTTTCTTTTTATATCGAATAAACGAGACTTAAAGATTTTTATTTATAGATCTTAGTCTTTCTATTATCAAACACAACTTGTATGTAAGGCATTAATCCCTCTTTCAATCAAATCGTCTGGGGTAGGTCGATTTTTTTGATAAAGTGACACGTGGATGGGGCAAAAGTCATAAAATTTTTTTAGGGAGGAGTAAAATTTTACGTTATGACTTTTTTATATATATAATATTTCAATTTTAAAACTTTCAAGGGACAAATTAAAGGAAAATTACAAATTTTGTACTATTTTACCTATACTTTTTCAGCTCACCCCTCATTCCTTCCTTATGAATCAATTCCTCCAACTTACATTCTCTATATTACTGCAGCTGCTGACACAGAGTTAGTCGATGTTTATTCCACAGATACCGTCATTGTTTCTTCTCCGGGAAAAGAAGTGTTCACGACCCGGACAAATGAGAGAGATTCTAAGTCTATCCATGTAGTATGAGATTGTATATAGTGAAAAAAAAATTTTAAATGAATTATATAAGTGTAACTTATATAGATAAAGTAATTTTTTTTTCTTTTCTTTTTTTGTCGATTCGAACTTAGTTTAACGGTAATTGGCTCATGTTCTTGACCAAGAGATCATGACTCATGCATTTGAATTCTCCCGTCCCTTTGTTCTACTAAAAAAAGTGATTTTTTTTCTTTTTAAAAAATCTAATAGATTAAACTCAACCCTAAAGCGTATTTGATTTGATTTGGAGTAAGATTATGTTGGAAGTTATTTATAGGAAGAATGTTAAGTGATCAAGATAGCATCCTTCCAAAATACTCTGGTTAGTTTGTAAGAACAATCTTCAACCACCTGAATTGAATTTGTAATTTTTTTTTCTCTTTTTCTTGAAAAAGAGAAACGAAAAACATGTCTTGTCTTGCCTGTTTGGCTCAATTTTTTTTTTCAATAATAATAAAAGTTTTGGATGTGCAACCACCATGGCGTAAAAAAAAGTGAAAAAAATTTAATAAATAAATACACTACAGCTCATTGATACTAATTTCTTTTTTCTTTGGATTGCAATAAGCCAGCTACCTTTTTTTCTTAGAATATAATAGGCCAGCTACTCAAGATATTGATATGTTTTCTCAAAGGCAGCAGCTTGTTCATTTGATCTTTAAATAAATTAACACCCTAGTTTGAGACGAGCCTACGCTTCATAATAATTTAATTCAGTCCTGTTTGTCAAAACGAACATAACTTAGTAGTAATTGACATATATCTCAAAGTTAGAGGTTTTGTTCAATCCCTCATTCCCACATTGTATGAATTGATCTTGTTTAGTAATATTTTTCTTTATTACATAAAGTTATTTATTTTGTTGTCCACTTTTTTAAGGAAAAAAAACCCAATTATGCTATGACCAGAGTTATTTTTAGTTTATTTTTCAAAATAATTAGTAATTTTAAAAGGTGTGAAGTAGCAGTCTAAGTTGAAAAATGAGCATGAGACTGATAATTATGTTATAACCAAAATACAAACAATGTTACCTAACTTTGATATATTAGTAATTTAAAAAAGGCGTGCAACTTGATTAATTTTACGAGACAATCAAATTAATTTTTAAGTAACTAACCATACTCGATAAATTTATAATATTGTCAATAAATATTTTTTTGTAGTTAAAATTTTTTTATTATATTAAAGATAAACTACAAATTCCTCCTCAGGTGCAAATTGTTGATGCCAATTAAGTACAGCCCAGTTAATTAAGACATTATACCTTTTTTTTTAGTACAACATGTGAGGGGAAGGGATTACCGCTAAGCTATACTCACTTTGACAATTAAGACATTATACATCTGTCTTAAAGTTAGAACATTCGATAATTGAAGTTCCACTATCTCACACTATTTGTTGGAAGATATATATATTAATGGTTGGATATATATAATTTTTTTTCTTTTTAATTAAGAATTATAATAAACGTTTTATCTATTCAACTACGTTCTGATTGGTACCCCATACACGGACCTTTAACATAGCAACAAATGTGATTTTCGCTACTAAATTTTATCCAATCTGTTTTTTACATGTAACATAATGTGTATATGCTAAAAAATATGTTATATTCAAACAGTAAAATCATAATTATATGATATAAATGTCTTAATTCGTTGAACATATGAATAAATTAACCTAGTAGTTTAAGCTCAAGCTTGATAAAAATTTAATTTACGGCCCTACAATTTGATAATAATTTGACATTTTCTTTAAAATGTCTCATATATACCATTGTGCGAAAGTTTGGTAGCATTCCAAATATATTACACAAAGTTGCCACCCAACTCATGAAATGAGTTTGATATTGTAAGAGACTAAGAAAAATAGTAATTTAGGTATTTATCTATATTTTATTTTACTTTTAAACAATTGATGACATGGTTTCAACTTTTAATTACATACATCAACTTATTAATACGAGCATGTCTTCAAACTAAATTTATTAGAAAGGAGTATTATGTACCTAAAAATTAGGTGGCGAAAATAATGTACGAAAGACCAAAATAGTTACTTATTACTGTCTATATATATATATATTAAAATAAGAAACAATATACATTTATTCGGTGTCCTCCACGTGGCAGTGTCATTTTATGCCTCTAATTTTAAAACGTCTATTTTAATCTTTTTGATCCATGTATTTTTTAAAAATGACCCATTTATTTTTATTTTTATCAAATTTTTAGAATAACAGGCTACTCAATAATTTTTTTTTATTGAGATGTAGCCTTAAATTTGTATTAAAAAATTTCTATAAATTAGTGATAACATTTTGCAAACAGGACAGTGACCAAAATGATCTTTTTTAAAAGTAAAATTACGAAAACCAACATGTTTAGAAGTATATAAATCATAATAAACAAAAATAAATCAAAATCTGAAGGCAGGTATTTTAACATAGAAAAAGAAAAAAGAGAGAAAAAATGGGGGTCGGTGTTGCTTGGTTGGGGTGTGGTTAACAACAAACAAATTGTTCGGCCCCATTTTCTCTCCACCGTCGAAATCTCTGACAACCTCTCTCATATTACATCTCCCATTTCTCTCTCTCTCCTCTCACATCTCTCTCTCTCTAATCTCTCTCATCTTTCTCTCTCTCTGCAAATTTCTCCGCCACCATGGTGCGCTGTCTGTTCACATGCTTCGGCAAAAGCGACGGCGTGGCCCCC